TGCTTTATCATAAACTAATTAACTCAATAACATTAACTAAATTCTTTTTCTTTTTTTTCCTTTTCTGTTCAAAAAGGAAAAGAATACAAGAAAAAATAAAAGGACGAAAAAACTATTACAAAGATAGCTAAGCATAATATACCAAAACTAAATAAGACATAGGTAAATTTAAGGTTAAAAGTTAATACATTTTTCCTTTATGTACTTCTCAACAACCAAACCAAAAAAAAAAAAAAAAAAAAAAATGAAATTTGAGTCAACCACCAAAAAGAAGATTAAATTCAAAACCCAAAATTCACCTGAAACAACCAATAATAGGAGAATTAAGTAAATAGCCAAAATTAGAGTGAACTTAAATTATTTTTCAATCTATGAAAACAAAGTCAAACGTGCAAGAAAATTAAAGAAAAAAAGGGTGAGTTAGATGAAGAAAATAGAAAGCGATTAAAAAAGATTTGATGGTAGGTAAGTAGTTACGAGATGAACATGAGCTCTAATATGCTTAACAGAGCTGTTGGTGTTGTCATGTCAATGAAAGAGAGAGTTGGAAAGTGTTGTTGATGTTGAATGGAAGAGAAGAGAGTTGGAAGAGTGTTGTTGATGTTGAATGGAAGAGTGTTGTCGTTTTAGGAATTAGGGATTGCGATTTAGTTAGGATTTAGTTTTTTTTTCTTTTTTTCACAGGTACTTGAAGGCAATACCCAGCTCACCCATAAAAAGGGTGGGCTGGTGTACGGGTAGAGAAAAGGGGTTTGTAATTATGGACCCGTACCATATTTTGTTTTGCCGATATGGGTCTATCTGTGGGTATAGACTTGTTTGCCAGGTCTACCTATAGGTCTAAACGATTGTCAATGGCCTCGTCCTCATGGTGTGCTATTGTAGGCAACCAAAAATAAATCTATACTCCTAAAAAAATACATGTAGTAGTGCAGTAGATCATTCCCACGAGAGTGTCTGCCTAGTTTTATGCTACGTGAACCGGCGGCGGGGGGGGGGGGGGGGGGGGGGGGGGGGTGTGTGTTTGAGAACGAAACAATTTCAAGGAAAACAACTAAGGAACAATTCAAATTAAATTATCGAAATCAATCAAAAGAACAAACCTTGGTCTAAGTCAACATCCGCCATTGGAATTTTACAATTGATCATCAATGCAGTATATATCAATTCAACTTTGAATATTCACCGTTGAAACTATTTTCCTATCCTCCTTAATCCCAGTTAATTAAAAACGGCGATCTAATTAATCTTACTACTAAATAACCCAGACAAGTGCTAAAGGTTTAATCTAGTAGTAGCCTTACGAATTAGAGAGATTGATGAAGCTGAACACCACACAACACAAGCGATTGTATTTAATTAGTCAACATTCTTCTTAAGATTTAATAATTTCTGATGCAGCAAATCATTAAATCTTAGTTACTTCACAAATTAGAGGGATCAACAATTACGGATTTGATATCTAATTTAGCGATAGATTGCAATGAATAATAAACTATAGCCTCCTACTCGCCTCCTACTAATTAAATGAGACAATCATGAAAACTAGAGAGAACTCCGATACTCAAAGCATAATTGAACACTAAAAACAAATTAGATCTCATAGTTTTATTGATTGAAAATTTAGCCACCCATGGCCATTATGAAAACTCAAAGGAAAAGTTGGAGAAGCGGGAAGAGAGGCTGTGTAGTGTATTTGATCCCCCCTCTTAGCACGTCCAATTCATTTTTGAAGCCTACCAAATCTCCTAAAAATATTCTAAGTTTTATCCTAAATAAACATGTATCCAAATCTGATTAATTAAAAAATAATAAAGTCCTAATATAACTAGGAAAGTGGTGTTTCCCTGTAACTTTCGTGCACCAATCTTGAAAACTTCCAATATACCACATATTTTAATTGCATGATAAGGCCGAATGTTCCGGAACGTCAGCAGTGCAGGTGTGTCAACTTCAAGCCCGATTCCGACCTTGATGTAGCGAGTGTCTCTCAAAACTCAAAACAGAAGGTTGTAGATCTCTTTCTTGGGGTTCCATAGAATTTTGAATAATCTCAATCAGAGCTCGGATGAGAGAGGTATGCCTAGATTACGAAGCATGTCAAAATTGTCCGAAATCGCCCAATTAGTTTCGTTTGCATTTAACGCCTCCATTTGCATCCAATCAAAATAAAATAATAATGAGTACATTTAGGCACCAAATAAGTTAAAAGACTAGACATTAAGGGAAAAAAAATATGACATTTGCATTCTCATCACCTCACATGATCAAATTTGCTCGAGTCAACTATAGATTTTACCGTCTATAGTTATAAATATATTAGAATAATAAAAATTTGAGAAATGAAATAAAAATAAATAAGTTTCTATAATGAATTTGAAATAAGAAAAAAATGTTATAACAAAAAACAAGTTATGAGTATATTTAAAATTAAAAATCTGGGATATTTTTCAAAATTCTTTAAGTAAGGGTGATGCTTATTTAATGCTTACATTTTATCTTACAAAACTCCACTCTAAATAAACCTTATAAAAGTTTAATTATTTCTGATATTTGACTTTTTTATGTAATGTTAATTGAGGATAATATGCCTTTTTGGGTGGATGGGTTGTATAACCTCGGAGGTTACCACCCTTTGGTTTGCTATTCGGTTGATTTGTTTTTTGTGACTGTTTTATGGGCTGTATCATGAAGAGTTGGGGAGGTTTTGTTTTTGGATACTTTTGAACTTAACTTGTCTTGTGTAGTGGGTTTCTTTGTGTTTTTAATCTCTGTTTGGTTCCATTTCTTTAACAAAAGGAATGGAAAAGAGAGAGATTAGGAGTTGACTTAGATAATATAATTTTTTTGCTTCTAATCCAGGGCTGTTTAAGGTAGATTAGTCATTTTCAGGCCTTTTGTACATTCTTTCTTCCTTCTATAAAAAGTTTACCTACCAAAAAAAAAAAAAAAAAAAAAAAAAGGAGAGGATAATATTGTAAATAAATTTCAAAAGTTTTGAAATTAGGTTTATTAATAAAATTAGTAGGGGCCAATAGCATCAATAAGACTTTCCAATGGGACAATATATTATATTCTTATTCTTAAGTAAATGACCTTTTATTTAGTCTTTTAAGTCAAGAATGAATGTAAAAACATTTGATTAAACTGTTAGTTTTATTATTTTTATTTAGTCTTTAGTTATTAAACAAAGCCCCACAAATTTTTTTTTATTTTTTTTTGTAAATAAACCATGAACCAAGGAGAACAATGAGAAGATTATGAGAAAAATTTAGACGGGTAGTCTCGTTAGTCACCACCTTATTTAGCTGTGGTGAAACTGTCCTCTAAATTAAGATCCATGCTTATTGTTAGTTTTCATCATCACCACCTTATGCAACTTTTAAGTCTTTAACCAGTCCATCTTTGGAATAAAATAGTATCCTTGAACAAAAAATATTCTCCTTTCATCAATGTACCTTTCATATCTATAAATTAAGGCATCACAACCCAATGTCACATGTTCTTTTCAATTTATGAAGGAATAAAGTAACGTATATAAGAACATGTCACTTTAAGAATCAATTTTATTTAAATATGAATTTGCTACAATTTTTCTCCTCCATCGTTGCTATCCTTCTTTCTTCTCTATATAAAAATTCCGTCTCTCTATAATGACTAGCCTACCAATATAACTTTCCACTGCTGTTTCTGCTGCAGCAATGTTAAGTTGTAAGAATTTCTTCATTTAATTATATTTTATATATTTATCTCTTTTAAGTTTCATTTATTATATATCAGACAACCTTTTTATGTCCGACAGCCTTTTCTCGTTGAAATTACATATTTTCAACGACATTTTAGAGTTTCTTACAATATTCTGCTAGTGCAGAAAAAACCATTTTTTGAATATAAAAACCAATAATTTTTTGAACTGATTAAAAGTGGTTGTAATTTCAAGGCTGTACTGTCCTTCCACCAAGTGAGGCAATAGAATTTCTTACCCAACACAGCTTTCTACTGTTGTTTCTGCTGCAGCAGTGTTAAGTTTGCAAGAATTTTCTTGTATTTAATTAAAACTTAATTATCTCCTTTTAAGTTTCATTTATTATATTAGATTATATTTTTTGCCCGAGTCTTTTCTGTTTTGAGGACCCTCGGTGAAAGGACAGTACAACCTTGAAATTACAACCAATTTTAATTAGTTCAAAATTTATTAGTTATTATATTAATTGGGAATCAACTGTTGTAATTATATAACTTGAATTTGATGAGTACTTTGTTCTTGTGATGGAATGAAGGACATAAAAGCCTGAGACTAAATTAATTTACTAAGAAGATACATACAAGACATCAGAATTGATCAACGAGAACAAACCTTGAAATAATAGAGCCCAAATTATTTTATGAACGAAGTTATTTATACCCATACAAGACATCGGATTATTCATTAATGTACATATGTGATATATTACAGATCAATTAGTAAAAGCTCAAGAGATGAACTTAATTATTAAAATGGGATGCCACAACCTAATTAGTTTCAAGTGAAAGACTTTTTATTATAGAAAGGTTGTAAATTACTTCTCTTATCTATTTCATTACATAATTAAGGATGAATTTGGAAAAGTTTTGGAAATCAGAAAATGTTTTCCGCAAATGGATACACTTTTACAAGAAAGTCATCCGGAAATTGAACTCAAATTTTCTCGGAATAAAGCAGAGGCTTATCTCAATTCTCCATAAATAATTATCCCTCATAATCCAATTAGATATCTAAACCTCAATGCCTGCTTTATAATTAATTAATATTAAAAGGGAACCAAGGAATGTTTAAAATTGTACATTAAAAATCCAATTAGATATCTAATTACCTGGATGATTGTGTTAATCATTAATTAATTAATTAAGAAGGGAATCAAGGAATGTGTAAAATGTAAGCTTGTTTTGTGGCATTGATTCTTTATGATAATATAAAATTCAATATATACAACTAAATCTGAATTTTATTGAATTCAAATGTTTTTTCTCATAAATTTTGTCTCTTCCCTTTGTTCAACAAAATCATGAAGGCAGAGGCATACTGCTGCCAATTCAAGTTTTGCTTTCTTTGTTGCTGCCTCCCTTACAGATTTGTAAGAATTTCTGCACTATGTTTTGAGTTTCGAGGCTAAATTAATCTTCAAAATCTGGAGTAAATTATATATAAAAAGTTTATTGCTATTATTTTAAGTTCTTAAGAAAGAGTTAAAATTTATCCAATTTGCTTCATCTTTGGATCACTTTCTATGAAGGGTAATGATTAAATATTGTAAAATTCGGTTCTATAAATTAAATTTATGTTATTGTATGGATGTAGCAAAGACGTTGCTGCTATTATTCTTGTGGTGATGATGATGGTGAGTCTCCGAAGCCAAACAAGAAACGCCGGATATCGGTAAAGTTCATAAATAGAATTATTTGTTCTTTTTCCTTTTTATGTGCTAATTTAAGTAATTTTATTAGTTTTTCATTCATTGGTTTTATTAATTAATAATTGAGATACTGTGACCTAATTTGTTAGTGCTTTCTTTTTTGTTTGCTGAATCTTTCATTTTGGTTAATCCAAAGTTGATAAAAGAGAAGTTAAAAGGTAGTTATATCTGATAGCTTTTATTAATTTTCTTATGGATTCAAGTTATAAGGTAGAAAAATAGATATATAACAAACTCTTCCAGATCCATTCTATCAAATTGAAAATTGAGTATCGGATATATAAATATTTATCTTGTTGCAATTTTTTTTTTTTTGTTTACTATCTTTATTTCTAATTTAAATAGTTCTACTAATGAAATGTTAATCTATGTTATGTAAAGTGATGATGTCAAAGCTTGTTATTCTGCTACTGCAAAAATGAAACTCAAGTTTCCAATGCCACAGGAGAAGAAATCCAAGGCAAAGAACCAAGAGTGCTCGATATCTATCAAAATGAATTGTTAGAAATGCAAGAAGCTCCACCAATTACACATCAGTTTCGACAGCAATTCGTTTTGTTAACTCTTCTATTTGTATAAATTATCACTTAATAGGAAGCTTTTGATTCACTCTAGAGTTTTTCCTGCCTAATTTTTAAGTGAAGACTTTCGTGAAGAGAAAATCCACACTACCCCGGTGATAACCACCTTTACGGACATTGTTAAATGACACCATCCACGCCAAAGTTCAGTCTTGCAATGGCATTGAAACATCACCCGTAGATTAAAAAAATAAAAATATCACCAGCGGAATCTTTCAAATGCACGTTTAAATTTCTGTCCCCTCTGCACTTTTCACCTCGCGAAACCCGTCGAAGGAGCCTCACCTCCTAAAAATTTGGGGAAGGAGACGACACCTCCTAAACATCCAAAGAAGAGACTACACCAATTGAAAAATCCGGCCAGAAGTTGGCAACTCCATAATTCTTTTTTTTTTTTTTTTTTTTTCCTTCTCTGGGTAAGTAAACATTCATTAGAAAAGAGAGAATTTACAAAAGGCCATAAAAAAGGGTCATCCTACCCTAGGACAAGCTTTAGGCATCATGAAGACTACTAACTAATTGCTAAACTAAGCAACTAAACACAAAAGCTAAACAAAGCAACAACACCATAGGGAGTGAGTAAATGGACAAGCAAAGAAAAGGTAATTTAAGGATTTTTGCCCCATATTACAAAAACAACAATTAGCATTAGAAGTAACACTATACCTCATGAGATTATCCTTACTAGGAGTCTTCCTTTCATTGTCATCCAAACAATCATAACATGTCGGGGAGTAGAATTATGAAACCATACCAGGTCTCTCCAATCCACTCTTGGTTTCCTTCCTCTAATAACCTCCCAAGCTGATTTAATTGAAAAACAACGTGAAGAAGATGGAGTCCAAGTAACCTAAAAGAAGGACTAAAGTTTACGGAATTTATCATGTCCACAAAAGCCCATGAATTTACCACCGGTCATCTCCAACATAAGTCATCAATCACAACACTAACTCTAGCATCTTTAGCAAAACCCGAATAAAAATAATAATACGTTGTCCATACTTACACAACAAAGGGCCATTGGGGTGCCGATTATCAAACCAAAGAGAAGTAAGAGTCCTATTCCCAATAATGCTTTTAATTTTCCCCCTAACCAACACCCTAAACTTAAGAATATGTTTCCAAGACCAAGAACAATCTTGAGGTTGCAACTCCATAACTTGACGATTGGCTTATCTAATTTTTATTTCTCCCAACTGATGTTTTCAATTATTTTTTCTGCCACACTGGAAAAATAGTCCTGAAACAAAGTTTCCATTATCCCTTATTTTTTTTTTTTTTGTGGTTTTTTTTTTGTCCTTTATTTTATGTTTTATTTCAATTTTATTTATTGTTTTTAAATAAAATGGGAAGATGTACTTGAGATATTAGTTGGTGGTAGTACCAACTCTGTTGATATTTTTGTCAAACTTATGTTATGGTGGATAATGAATTGTTAAGTAAATATATGCACACATCGCTCTTTTGTGCAAGCATCTACTGTCTGACACATTTTGCCAAGTGGTGTTTCTCTTTGTTGTCTTGCCCATCAAGCTAATTTTAATTCATGATATATTTGTGTGATCTAACTTTACAAGTGCCACAATTTCCTCATGTGGTCCTAAAAAGTTGTAAGGCTTTGTCTGTGGTTCTATAAGAAAGAGAAAATATATGTTTGTGGTCCAACAAAAAGTCAAAATTCTTTTTGTCCTCCACATGTACAGCTATGTCAGGCATGTCAGGCTTATGTCTTTTGCATTTTCATTTCATGTGTGTTCACAGTGGATATTTGCTTGCACACTTATGTCAGACATATGCTTGTTGCATTTCATTTCACATTTTACTTTGTGTGTGGGCACATTGTTCTGTTATGCTAACATCGCATGTCTAACTCATTTTTCACAAGTTACGTTTTTATCTTTATCAATTGATATATTTTTTGTCTATTTGTTGTTCTGTCATGAGGATCACCTACAGATGTCCCAATATCCTCTTGCGGTTGAGGGAAATAAGGTTTTGCCTTTTTTTCTCATGGTCCCAAAAGATTGGTGGAATTTGTTCCATTTTTGGACCAACATATGTCAGCCCTTTTTTGCTGACTTGGCAAGACTTGGGGAGCACGAGATTGGCCTATATCATCTTCATTCCTGCTCATTTGTAAATCTAACCTTTGATATTATATTTGTTTGTGCTCTGAAATTTTTAGAGAGTATTTTTCCTTAAAGGTTCATACTATGTTATTTTACCAAACACTTATCATCTCTTATCCTTGATTAAATGGCTTCTAGAACTTGGTCCCATTGTTGATGTTGGAGCGTGGCTTCGCCATGTGAAGCTTGGGTGGAGCTCAAGTGTTCTTTGGGTGTGTTCTCGACGTGAAAAGGTCGTTGGAGCAACAAGACATTTGAGATTCAAAGGGTGGTGTTTAGTGTAACTAGAACAGGGAGTTCTCTTTGCTGTAGCTAAAATCAACTTTGAACTATATCTTGGAATGTTTGTTGTTTAGTGGATTTGCTTCGATCTGGACGAAGTCCCATGGATGTAGGCTAAGAGTGGTTTTAACCAAACCATGTACATGTTGGTATGCTTTACATTTATTGTTTATGGATGTTGATTCATGCTTAACTCGATAACTATTAATCAGCTTGGTAAAAACTTCCACTGCACTTTAAAAATGGGTACCTAAACGTTAACTAGAGTTCAACAACTCTTAAAAAGTGCTATTAGAGCTTGTTTTGATACGTTCTTTCAGTTGATCCTCACCCATTTCGTTTGCTTTAGTGTGCATCTTATTGGTTTTGTGTTTGGTTGAAATTATAAGTAAATGATCAGATTCGCGCAGCAGAAAAAAACGAAATAATTTAAAACGAATCGATCATTACTCTAAATCCAAAATTTGGCAACGATTATAATGTTTACATATTAAACTAAAATCTGTATAAAAATAAATCCATACAAGGATTAGAATTCTTACGAATGTTTGGAGGCTCCTTCAAATGTCTTTGATTTGATCTCGCTTCCCAATTCAATGTAGAATTACACTCACGTCGTCCACATGAAGATAATCCATAGATACTTTAATCTATTTTGCAAGAATAATCAAAGGCTTCAATAATCCAAAACAATCAAAGAATAAAATTCTTTGATTCACTCAAGGCAAAACGTGAGAGAGAGAGAGAGAGAGAGAGAGAGAGAGAGAGATGGTGGCTAGGGTTTTTAAATTAATGAATAATCGTTTTTGTTTTAAGTTGCACTTACATAGTGCAATTTAATTAAAACCCTATTCCACTTAGGAATAGCCATGGGCTCCAACCCTAATCCACCCTTGCAACCAAACACCCCTTAATTGGTATTTTAAATTTAATTAATTATTATTATTAAAATCAATTAATATATTAAAATATATTAACATTTAATTAACAATAATAATCCATTTACTTATATGTGCACATATATTTAAATATAACATCACCAATTTTAATTTCAATATTAAAATTGAATATAGGCAACAATCTCAGCAAATTTAATTGCACTGTGAGATTACCAAAATACCCTTTCGTCTTAAAAGACGAAAATACCCCTTTCACACACTGATTCTTTGATTATCTTTTAAGTTTGTGACCCGTAGGCTCCTTATCATATCGGCAATGAGCAGTATTACGATTAACACTAATTAATCGTCTCACTGTACACAGACCAAGATTAGCACCTAGCACGGCATTATGACCACCCAATAGATTTAGATTTAGTGAAATGGCTGCCTATCAACGATATGGTTACCGTGCAATCAAATTCTTTCATCATTCGTTATCCCATCAAGGCTGAGGTACAAAAATAGTGTCAACCTTAGATATCCTCGATATCTTTGTATTCAGTAACTAGACCAATGACCCGAATAATAAATTAGATTGAGCAACAACTCAATCCCACTGTGGCCACAGATTTAGTGTCATTACCATTTACTGAATTGCGTAATGAGATAATTTCTCCTATACCAGGGAGTGATGAATCCTTTGTTGATCCACCATAGTCTTGATACACTCCTCGATGTAGCCAATCACTACCGTTCTAATAGTCTTGAATAGAACTACGTTGGGCTATTTTCAAACTACACCAATCGGTGCACAAGGCGCTTTGGTGATCTCATGTCTAAAGATCACATGCACCACCATTCGTTAGAGGATTTATTCCATAGACACTAGGGTTACATCCATATGGAATCCTTTGTTGGGTATGTCTAGTGAACATTCCTATAGCAAGCACCCATGTGTTGCACCAGGTTGTCGACAAACAACCTTGACAAATGAGATCAGTCATTATCTATTGATTGGATCGTTCAACACTATGATAGTCTTACAGTATTATCTGTGTCCTTGGTCATAATAATATTGGGGCTATGGATATTTTTAGAATGGCCACCGTTATCAAGATTTTAAACACTTGATACCCTCATCACGGTTCTACCATCCTAAGGACATATATCAATACATATAACTATGATTTACAAGACATAGTAGAAAATGCCTTTTATTGATAAATGAACACTATCACAAAGATTCAATATTAAAATAATTGATTGGCTCTAGGGCACCTACTCTAACAATCTCCCACTTGCACTATAGCCAGTCATTCATGTATTCAATATTGAATGACCTTAAGTGTCTTTCATGCTTCTGCTACAACAGAGGCTTTGTTAGTGGATCGACGAGATTGTCATCAGTATGTTCTTTGCTAATATGCACATCTTTCCTTTCAACCATTTCACTAATGAGATGAAAATGCCTGAGTATGTGTTTCGACCGCTAGAAAGACCGTGGCTCCTTTGCTTGAGCTATTGCTCCATTGTTGTCACATCAGACTTCTATTGGATCAACAATAATGGAGATCACATCAAGTTCAATGACAAACTTCTTAATCCAAACCGCCTCTTTGGCCACATCGGATAATGTAATATACTCGACTTCCATTATAGAATCTGCTACAGTGCTTTGCTTGGAGCTCTTTTAGCTCACTGCACCCGCATTGAAACAAAAT